TCTCTCAGGAGTCGGTCGGCTAAACCTCCTGGGAGATCTCCCTCCTGGACTGTTGGGTTCGGGTTTTAATTTCAAGATTTTTACCTGTTTTGAAATGCTTAAAGAGCACATAAAGGTAGGAGAGAAATGGGGTATAGAGGAAATTCCTAACCTGACTTGATAAAAATTAAAATCAGTTTGTACGGATAGTGGTTTCGGGTTCCTTTAAGGTTTGGGCGTACGTCTGGCAGCGGCGGCGTGGCATCCTGTGGCGGTTCCTCGCTTTCACTATCGGAAACGTGAAGGTCGGCAAATAGGAGTTTCATACCAGCCGAATGTGCATTACATGATCGTGGGTCGAGCACCTGAGAAAGGATTCTGAGAAACCCTCTACCCTATGATTTATTCACAATTCTTTTATACACATTCTTTTCCGTCTCGTATTTATCATAATTAACCGGCACCGCGGCCAGACCTTCGGAGATCATTTATGGATAAGCGAGGGAGAGGAACTTCATCGGAACCGTTCGCGGACTCATCTTCCCAGTTTAGCAACAGGAGATGGGCGCCTTATACGAACATTTCCTCCTCCTCCTTAACCATCTTCGCGGGATGCTTCCCCGTCCTTCCTGCCCTACGATTAGCTTCCTCTTCTTCCTCTCTCTCTCTCTCTCTCTCTCTCTCTCTCTCTCTCTCTCTCTCTCTCTCTCTCTCTCTCTCTCTCTCTCTCTCTTTCTCTCTTATCCTTTAATTAAAAATACGTTTACAGTATATGAAAATGCTTTTTACTGCTTCTTCTAATGTATTGACTAGAATATATGTTTTAAAGTAAATTATATATAAGTCAAACAGTATAAAATACAAGACACAAATAAATAAAATATTTAGATATCCACTGACCTGAGCTAAGATTCTAAAGGTAATATAAAACAGCAAACAACAACAACAAAAAAGGCGAAATTCTATTTACAAGAATTTTAAAACCTAAATGCATAGCACATCTAGAAATACAGCGTGAAATAACAGAACTTTTGAATGAGCTGTCTCTGGTCCAGCCATGCCCTGCAGCGCGTCTGCTCTCGGCGCCCGGCACTCCTGTCTGGCTGGCGCGGCGTCGCAGGCTGGCTTTGCTCTTCTTGTACTTCGAACGCGATGGCGAGGCCGCCACTATCCTCCGGTGCCGGGGATTCTGGCGGGTGCTTGGAGTCCCAGCATCTCCACCGCTGATTATGTTGACGGCTCTGGATTGCGTTCTGTCAAGGAGGTCGAGGCAGCTCCTCCCATATCAGGAGTATATTCCATCACAGAGCGAATGTAAGCTTTGTATAAAAGAAGCTCCCATCCATTTGCATCCAGAAGCCATGAAATGCGTCTCAGGACGCAGGTATTCTTGATTTGTGTTTCACAAGTGTGTTTGTTATCGCAGGATACACCAAGTATTTTCATTTCGTCTTGAGGTTGTAGACCTTGTTGGCGGGGAGTGTTCAGGTAATTCAGGTTGGTAGTTATAGTAGCTTCTGTAATAATTTTGATTATGATAAGAATAATATTTCACACATATTCATACATTTGGCTCTCTTTCTGAACTTATCTGTGAATGTCATTATTTATAATTCGCACTGACTTCACCTATTACAAATATATTCACTATATTCACAATATATAAATTATGATTGTGAGATTACCTTAAGCATAGATAAAAGAGCCAATAACTGGTTAGGTATCCTAAGCTTTAAGAAAACATCCGAAACACCGCTAACCAACAGCTTGCCGTCGGTTGTGACCCGAGAAAAATCTAAATACTAAAGAATATTTTACATAATGAAGAGTTACATTCTCGATGAAGATGCAACACTTCCAAATAGTTATTCCATGAGATATGAACTATTGTTCCATTAGTATCCCAAAGTTTTCCAAGACTGATAACAGGTCTTTGATACATCACATTAACCATTTAAAATTATTATATATTGTATATTCAATATATAATTTACACAAATGTTTCTGGTTACAGCCTTTCAGTCTTGGTGACTTGCAGTGTAAGAGCATGTTGCCAGATAACTAAAGATTACCATGGTTACTAGAAGATTAATGCAAATACACAAGGCGTGGGACTTATTTGGTGTCAACTTCACCTACCAACTGTTACCCAGATGGTAAGTGATGGTTTCTGAATCTCAAATAGGGTCGCTGTAAACTGTTTAACTTTCTTACTGACATCCCCTAAAAGAACATCTTTTCAAGAAATGTGTCACAACTTTTCTGACCTGTGTCCAATCATCATATTCCCATTTCTACATAATGCGGCTGGTCCCCCCATATCCATGTCTTCAGAGAAGCATCTGCGATTGTGGTAAAATCTGTTGAGCTCAATGAACACCACAGTTGAAGGGCGATGAAGAATGATATGCTATGCTGTGGCGCCAAAAAATGCTGGTTTGCAATATTTGATGGAGCCACGAAGCACGTACAGCCATTAGCTCTCCCGACCGGTCTGCTTCACAGCCTGGATCAGCTCTTGGTGCCTCTGGTTTCATTACGACCCCTACAGTATCACACACTTGTCTGGGCTATCAATTCCGTCTCTCTGGCTTTTCGTTGTTGCTAGGTCTCTATGAAGATTCCTAAACAGATTTTTAAGGACGTTCTTTGGTAAGTCTAGATGATCCTCTTAACTGGAGGCTTCAGGGGCAGGCGGGTCCGTCTCCTCTCTCTCAAGAAGAAGAAAAAGAAGAAAACTGCATCTGTAACCTCGGGAGTGTCATCCCTCGGCTGCATTCCGCTTCTTCCCTATGTGCTAATTGTGACGACCAACCAGTGCACTTTCTGTCTCCTTTCCTCAGACTGAGCAACGCCGGGTTGGTCTAGAAATTCCACCAAGACGGACTTTTTACAAAATACAAAGAGTTGGAAGTGAAATAAGAAACATTTAACAAAAAAAGATAGTTTGAAGGGTATAATAAAGAATATACAAGAACAACGACAGACAATAGAAAACGTGAAGCTTACAGGGTAAAGTAAATATAAACAAAATAAACACATTAAAGTGGTTTGGTCAGAGTATATGATCAAATGTAAATCACACATGATGAAGGCTATTAACAGTCCTCAACAATCGCTGTAATAGTTTGAGTATCAGGCTTGTTGACAAATTTGCTAATCATCAATATTTATGATTAAGTCTATCGGTGCAAAATCCTAAATAACGTTATTGCTTTGTCAAACCCTGTATATTCGATGAAGAGTAAACTACATGTCACCCGAAAAAGATAAAGAGACCAATAAGCATTAAGCGGAATTCCCCCCCCCCCCCCCTCTCTCTCTCTCTCTCTCTCTCTCTCTCTCTCTCTCTCTCTCTCTCTCTCTCTCTCTCTCTCTCTCTCTCTCTCTCTCTCTCTCTATCTCTATTTATTTATCTATCTATCTCCCCCCCTCTCTCTCTCCTCCCTCCCTCCCTCCCTCCCTCCCTCTCTCTCTCTCTCTCTCTCTCTCTCTCTCTTTCCCTCCCTCCCTCCCTCCCTCCCTCTCTCTCTCTCTCTCTCTCTCTCTCTCTCTCTCTCTCTCCTCCCTCTCTCTCTCTCTCTCTCTCTCTCTCTCTCTCTCTCTCTCTCTCTTTCTCTCCCCCCCCCCCCTCTCTCTCTCTCTCTCTCTCTCTCTCTCTCTCTCTCTCTCTCTCTCTCTCTCTCCCCCTCCCCCCCCTCTCTCTCTCTTCCACTTCCTGTCAGAAAAACGACACCCTCTCTCACAAGGAGGCGTCTCCGGCGCAAAGGGCGGAAGGCTCGGTTAATGGAGTTTGGAATCCATCAACCGCTTCCCTGGCTTTATCACTCAGTGCATTTGCGAATCAAAAAGAAAACAAGAGAGAGAGAGAGAGAGAGAGAAAGAGGAGGGGAAGATAGAGGAAATATGAAACTTTCGCTGGGTATCAGTGTATTTCATTCTCCATGTCTCTTCCATAGTTACATGTTACTTATCGCTCGTTTGATGAAGTATACTGGTAATGATGATTATAATTATGGAAACCATGATAATGATGGTGGTGGAGATAATGAAATATGACGCTTATGATGGAGATGATGATGATAATAATAAGGATAGTGATAACAATATGGATGATGTAATTACTCTTTAAATATATCATAGAGATATGTATTTTTTTATCATCATTATTATCCTATTTACATATTTCATGATTCATGAATGTTGCAGTTCTCCATATTCCCATGTATATAACGTGTCGAGATACAGGGCTAACAGGAGAAGATAATACCCTGCTCTTTCCCTTGTAATTATAGGAAATGTCTTGGACTGTATTGGGATTTCACTGTGGTAGTATGAATGGTATTTCCTCTTGTATATCAATTACCTCATGATACATGAAACTACCAGAAAGAAAGACATGGAATAGGTAACGTGTATGTGGCATCTACATGACATTCCACTTTCAGCGAAAAACAAACAGACAAGGAAACGGAAACAAAAAGGAAAACAAAAGGAAAAAGTAAACAAAAGATCTTCGACTGCCCAGTTTGTCAAAAAAATGTACTTAAAATCTGAACGACAATCAACAATAAACCTGGCAACAGACCAAACCCTCCCGGTCATTTGTAGCAATTAAGTCTACTCTTGTATCAATTCCTCTTCGGTCGCCCGTCACTGGTTGAAAAGCTGACCTTCCTTTCAATAACCGCAAATGACAACGACAAATCTAGTTTGCTAAATCTGGTAATTTGAGGAACTGAATCCTGTCGTTCAACCTGAACAGGTGAATTCGGTGACACGTGAGACGGGATCGTGCATGAATCAAAGGAGGAAACTCACATTCGACCCAAATGAGGATCTCCGTCATGCAATCGAGCGCCACGCTCTAGTAAGGATACAGGGACACAGCGGCCCGACCGCCCCTCGTCTGCGGGCCCGAGGGCCACCGCCTCAGCGCCAGCATCTCGCTCGCCGACGCCCCCAGCGCCACTTTCGCGAGCGCCTGACCCCGAGCCGGTCGCCGTGCCCTTCGCCGCGCC